CCCTCATCTCATGTTTCATTCACACTACAAAATTGAAAAAGGCTTGTCTGAATTTGAATGGTATAATAACAAGGAAAGACCTTCATGTTGCCAGCTCTTCTTCCAAATTTTTGAGTTAACAAGACTAAAGAATCAATAGTACCCTTGGGTTCAGGTGCAGTCTTATTAATCTCACCAAACGCATCTCTGACCCTAACACAGTCAAATCTTATGATATTGTGACCCGCCCATATCCTCCCTACAACACAAACATTTTAAAAAGATAAACTTTGAAGCAATTCAAACAAGTGTAAAATGGAACGTACCATGAAGAAGATCATAAACGGTATCAGCAATTTGATCGAAAGTGGGAGCAGAAGAAACTGCTTCGGCGGTAATGCCATTGCAACGTTCCGATGAGGGTGAAATGAGAGATAAGTCTTTGGGTCGGACCAAGGTGCAGTAGTTTCGGAGCTCCGTCAACTTCCTGGGACAAACGAGAATAGCTCCGAATTCAAGAATGGCATAACCTTGGCCTTTTCGGGTCGGAATGGTGGTCTCCACGTCGAAGAAAACTATCTCCGAACGATCTTCACTCGGAATTGAACCCATTGCAGTTTAATTGATCATTAAACGGTGTCGTTTATATAGCAAGAGAGCGCCATGGGTTGGATTGGTATGTACGTATACTTTTCTTAATGGGCTTGCTTATCCACATAGGCCCCTCATCCAATACAATACGCAATTTTATTATTTTCCCTTATTGCCTTTTCATCCCATACAATGTCCAGTTATTATTTCCGTTCCCTTATTGCCTTTTCATCTATACATTATGCAATTATTATTTACAATGATATTCTATCTCAAAAATCATGTCTATTCGTATCTCTGTCCAATAAACTACCACCAATTAATATAATTTTGTTTTTATAATTTTCATTTTTAAGTAAATGACGCAATTTGATTGGTGTGGTTCATAGAAGACGGCATGAAACGAGATAGGTGATCTTCATCCCCTTATTGCCTTTTCATCCCATACAATAAGCCATTATCATTTTTATTATTCTTTCCCTTATTACCTTTTCATCCGATACAATATGCAACTATTATTTTTATTATTATTTCCCTTCACTTATTGCCTTTTCATCCAATACAATACACAATTATTATTCTTTCCCTTCCCTTATTGCCTTTTCATCCAAAATATGAATATGCTTAGTGATGTGGAATGGAATAAAAGTATAATGAAGGAAGCAGAAACGTGAATGGCTTGACTTTCTTACCATATATCGCACGTGTTTCTTACTTCACCAACTCCCATCCTATCAAAACATGGAACTCTCTCTCTTTTATAATATTTAAACAGCCAAACAAGAAGGTTTGGAGTTTTGAGTGATTATGGAAAGTGGAGGATTTGGGTTTGTGTGGAAATTTATATTATGCGGAATTTCAGCAGCTCTCGGCGCTTGCTTTGCTACTGGTAATCCACATGCAATTTCATTTCATTCACTCAAATAGACCTAACTCAATTTCATGTCTTGTGTTTTTCAATTGCAGGTGGGGCCCTCACTGGAGCCATAGCTGGTGCTTTAGCAGCTAAGGCTTCTAAGAGTAGTTTTCTTCGAGGAACTTCATTGGGTGCCATTGCTGGGGCTATAATCTCAGTGGAAGTGTTGGAAGCCTCCTGCGCCTACTGCTTTATCGACCAAACTGGTTCAAGGGCCACATCATCTATGGTTCGTCACCATTGTACTTGTTTGTGTTACCTGTTCATTATGTAGCATCTTAAGAATGTACTTTTTGAGTGGTAATCTTAATTCATAGTTTTATAACATTTAAATACAGGCAGATTTCATAGAGGGACTTTTTCGCGGGAGGCTTGTAGAGGAATCACTTACACCTGTTATTTTAACTGCTTATAATTTGCAGGTAATTTTCCTATATCTCTCTCTTTACACATTTGTTTTTTAAAATAATCAAGAGCTGTGGCATATGGCCAATTCGAGATGGGCAACTTACTTATTAACTGATTATTACCAACTTTGTTGATAAGACCTGTAAGTGATGGCCCTTATTTTATCTACTTTACATCCAACTTTGTTTACATGTAATGAACTTGTATAAATCTTTATTGTGTTGATTGTTCTGCTTGCTACATTACTTCCACATGCTTACTGCTTACAACTCATTTGTTCTGATAATCATCTGGTTTTTCGTTTTAGTTTGAGCAGGCTCGCTTTGCTGACACAGGATATGATGAGATTCATGATGATCACAGCTTAGCAGCATCTTCCAGAGGATTGTCGGGGGATTCATTAAACAAGTTACCACATCATGTTGTCTTGAAGGACATGAAGGCAGACTATACCTGCTGTTCAATATGTTTGCAGGTGATTATTCTCTTTGAGGATATACACATGCCCCCTCCTTATTTTCATTGCCTTGTGGAAATAATTACAGCTAACAATGAACATTTGTGCGTAACAGTGAGGAGCGTTGCTTGAGTATTACTATTGCAGACAAAATACTAAGATTAAACCATACAACTTGGATCAAATTCTTATCAAATTATATGTTAAATTTACTAAATGAGTTTTTAATGACCAAAAGGTGCATTTAACACTGAGAAGTAAATTATGGATGAATCTAACACTGAGAAGTAAAATTTACAGGATATTGAAGTAGGAGAAACTGCGAGAAGCTTACCTCGTTGCCAGCATACATTTCATTTGATATGTGTGGACAAATGGCTTGTCGAGAATGATTCATGTCCTGTCTGCAGACAGGGTATGTAGCTAAGGAGCTTGTTACTTGGCCATTTTTTTTCTGCTAGATGTATGTGTTGTATTATTAGTTTCTTTGATTACCACAAAGTAGGGAGGGGCATTTGAATAATTATTGACCATTGCCATTCTGGACCATTTTGCATGGAAAAGGATAAAGTTAAATAGTGGAAAAGTAGTAAGACTGCTCTCCATGGAGAGGCAAATACCCAAAAAATTAAAGAAAGTGAAACATGTAATGTCATTTTTGTCTTTTTTATTTAAAAGAATATTACATATTTGTCCTTACAATACACATAAAAAATTTCAACAAGCCCAAACTCTCCTAGGATTTAGATACCACTTCTCATATTTTTACTGTCAAATTTCAACTCATAAAATTAAGTATGAAATGTGTATTTATAACCATTGATTGGAAAATTAATAATTGAGATTATGATTTCCCATAAATTGCTATTAAAACGATGTAATTTAATCTGTACATACATGCATAAAACTCAGAAGTGAACGGTTGTGGTGAGAATGGACTCATGCAAACTTTACTTGCTTCTTTGACAAGAGACTATATATCTCAATTTGTCCTGCCCCACTACTACCGTAAATTGAGATAAGTATTCAAAAAACGAAGTCCTTTCCTTTCATCTGTAATTGTGAATTGAATATTGAATGACTAAATAAATTTAATCAAGAAAAAGAACGAAGAATTCAAAGAATGAGTTAAGGCAAGATAAGAAAAAAAGTTGTATCAATTCACAAAAATACCTGACTGTGATTTGGCAACAGTCAAAAAATAACAAAAAATATCATTCAAAATTTATCTTACAATTTACCCTTCGTTAATCATTCATAGAAAAGGCACGTTGTGTTTGTTCAAGCTTCGCACTTTTCTTCATTGTTTGGATAATAGGACAGTGCTTTTGTTTGTTTTCTATTTCCGTAACCTTCAAGTCTAGTTGGCATTTTACAATGTTGGAACTAAATATAAAAAAAAAAAAAAAACTATCCGTGATGCCAGATCTGAAACAGAATATATAGTTGGACATATAGCCATAGCCATTATCCACTATCTATTATTTGGATATGTAGCCATTATCCACTATCTATTATTTGGATATATAGCCATAACCTCATGATCTCTGCCCTCTAGGATATCCATTCTATCTGGTTTTTACAAATCATGTTTTGTTCCTTCAGAAGTGTTCTCTATGTTCCTGGTTTTAATGACAATATGGTTACCTTTAGTTCTAATGCCAAATCTCAAGGGTTGTGTTTCTCAAGGGCTGTTGAAGCAGCATCAAGGTCTCCTCCAGTTTCAGTGGATCGCAGCTCTAAAATTTCCACCAGTGTTCCTATTCATGTATGTCTATATTTGCTTTGTAGGTTATAACTTTTACTTCAAAGATAGCTAGTTTCTTTGTACTTAACATTTTCAGTCTTTAATTTGTTTCAGGCACAGACAAGAGTTTGTGTTAGCCAAGCTTTGAGGTGGTGGGAGAAGACCCTGAAGCCCAATAATATGATTGAGGTCCATTCACCTGAAAAGCTTGTCCATTTTCTGGATAATGTTGGTCATGCATTGGTTGTGGTGGATTTTTACTCACCTGCTTGTGGAGGCTGCAAAACTCTACATCCCAAGGTATTATTCTGTTCTTTGCAGATAGGAAAAACCTCTGTTGAGGCAATCAATGACTTTATAATTTTTTAGGAAAACAATTATTAGAAGCTAGCTAATATGATTATCCAAGTTATTACAAAGGCCTTAACACTTGATTTCGGTATTTAATCAAGTTTTATGTGACCAGATATGTCAAATTGCTGCATTGTATCCAAATGTAGTATTTGTTCAAGTCAATTATGAGGAGATGAAAACCATGTGCCACAGTATGCACATTCATGTGCTACCATTCTTCAGATTCTATAGAGGAGCAGAGGGTCGTGTTTGTAGCTTCAGCTGTACCAATGCTACTGTAAGAATATGAATGAATGACACAATTAGTTCTTACAATTTCTGATTATATATGGTGGGTTATTGTTTCTTAGTCCAAGCTTATGTTACAATTTGCAGATTAAAAAATTTAAGGATGCCTTAGCAAAACATGGGAATGAAAGTTACAATCTAGGCCCTGCAAGAGGTTTAGATGAGAAAGAGCTGAAAGCCTTGGCATCAGTTGGTGAAATATCAGCCAATTCTCATAAAATAATGTTATCTAGCATTCAGATTCAGAATGAGAGTTGAGGCAGTAATAATAACCGAAAATGAGAGGAATAGATTACAGTAAGAAGCCTTCATTAATAGAAGTAGAAAGGATTTATCACATGAGATGCTTAGAGAGCCCAGCACTGGCCAGGCTTCAACCTAAGCAAACTTCGAATCTCCGTTCTTAGTGACAATCATCAGGCTCAACTGCTAATACATGCAATTCAAAATTCATAATTAGACAACTAAATAATATTCACAACTCCATCTCATTTCTTAAATTCAGTATTGCATCAGAGAGATTCCCATTAGACTAAGTCATCATTCTCCATTCGAGATCTGATGTCCCTGTCTATCTTTCTCATCATTTGCAACAAACACCTTAACACATAACAATCAATATTAAAGGACTGCAAATATTTAAAACCATGTCAAAGAAATTAAAATTCAGATACAGGTATAATAGAAAGAAAACTACTAGAGATAAACGATTTTCATATGAATTACCAACATTCCATGTCAGATGATAAACCTATAAGATAGAATTAGAATGAAAGGCATAGACGAATTCGTATTCGGCCGTGGACATTATATAGACATAGTGGAGGCCAGAGAAAATAGGGTTTCCTTTTCCGGAGCGTGAGATCGTGATCGCTGATCCATGAACATTGGATTGGATAGTTTAATGCAACTCAAATTAGGTCCTCAATGATTTTGGGCTTACTGTTTTACACGTCAATCGATCCATTACCTAAATGGATTCAAATTGTTATTTCATTTCCTCTTTTTATTATTCTCCACTTTCCCACTTCATTATCAAACATACCATACCCAACTGTTTTAGCATTTTCATGTCATCTATGTGTTTTTCCACCGACACCAAAATAATATTTTAAAAATATAAAATAATGGATAAAATTACCAATTAACTAAAAAAAACAGTTGTTTTATAATCTCTTAAATATATGTGAACTTCATGCCTAAGTGATATATATATTAAATATATATTGTTCTTGTATAGGGGATGTAGCTCAGATGGTAGAGCGCTCGCTTAGCATGCGAGAGGTACGGGGATCGATACCCCGCATCTCCATTTTTTTTATCATTTTTCAGTTTTATTTTTATATAATGCCATAATGATATTGTGGTGATTCATTCGTAGGATTCTATGCTTCTGCCAAAAGAACTGCACCAGTCTTAATCTTTGATGCCTAGGCTGTCTTTGTTCAGATCCATGGCACAACGCCATTGTCAATTTTGTAATCAATGATGTCAAAACCTGTGTCTTTGTTCAGATCCATGGCACAACGCCATTGTCCAAACACTAAGCGGCTACTAAATTTTGTAATCAATGATGTCAAAACCTGTGTCCTTTTCTTGTAATCTTGATTAGAGATATTTGGGCATGGTTGCATAGAATCAAGCTTTTCACTATGCTGGTTTGATTTTTTTATTTAGATTCAGGCACATTATTTCAAGAAATACTTTTCAAATGCAACTACATTGGAGTACAAAAGTATGCAATATTACCTTCATTCTCTACCAAATTCAAATTTACAGCTTGGATCACTGAATTAATTACAAAAATCTACCAGTAACCAAGTCAGTCAACATAACTAAAATGATCAGTGAATTAATTACAAAATCTACAGTAACCAAGTCAGTCAATATAACTAAAATATTTGTATGTGAACAAACTCCATCCTAGAAGTAATATAATATGTACACCTATCAGTTAACACAGCCCAACCTTATGAGATCCCTTGTTCTCAGAATTGGAGAGGCAACCTAGTGTTTCTGAAAATATTCATTTACAAGCATTGGTCACAACCTTCTCAGAAGACAAAATATAGCAATGCTTGTATAGCTAATCAGTTACTGCAGAATAGAGGAAAATAGAAACCATAAGAACCCGAACCTTGAGCAATTTTAGCAAATTAAAAACCTACAATTGACTATGAAACAAATCAAACAGGAAAGGGCTGCATAGTCCTTACTCTATGGAAGCCATTCTCATTATACATAGCAATTCCACAAGGCCCAGAGCCAGAATTCCAGAACTGATGTCCATTTTCAAAGAGTGATCTAGGCAAATCAAAGTTGTTATGAATTTGGTAATCCGCGGTGTTTGGTTTACTGTTCATTGCTTGGTGATGTTTCATTTCTACATCATCTGGTGGATGAGGAGGGTATGCAAACTGCTCACAGTGTTGTACATTTAAGGAAGCAGTTCCATTTAACTCATTCAAGGCACTACCTCCATGACCCAAAGTAGTGACTTGGGGAGAGCTTCCAACCTCAAGTTTGTTGTTGCCAATGTTATAACCAGAATAGCCAGGGAGTGAAATGTCAGTTGAGCACTCAGCATCTCTATTCGTATTATCACTGTATGTTATACAATCTAGTTAGTCAGTGATTGATTGCAAAGTGAAGCACAACTTGTCTACAATCACTTCCACAAATAAATTTTGATAAATCATTAATCTAATCGAATAATTAATCAGAGTTTTCATAGAAACAATGCAGTTCAGCTTCCGGTAGCACAGGAGTAGCACAAAGCTCGGTGGAATTAATAGTGTAAGCTTCATACAGCTGCTAACTTACCTAAATGCTAGAAATTTTGGTTCATTGGGTAATAACAATTGGTGATGGTTATCATTATTCAAAAGCCAAGACAGGGGTTGAGACTCTTGCAGACCAGCCATCATCATGGGTAAATTCATCCCTTCCTGTAACTACGAAGCAACACAATCCCAAATAAGATTCATCCTTTAAAAAGGACAAGAGGTAGACACAAAATGAGTGAAAGAGTACAACATTTTCTACCTGGTTAGAACATCCAAGTGGAAGTAGTTGGTTCTTTCCTAAATTTTCCTGCCAATGAAAATAGTTTTGTTAAGATACACCAATTCATAACTCTTTTAACAGAAAGGACAATCAGGCACACAACTGTGACAGAATAATAGGGCTAGTCTACACGAAACAAAATCTTACCTTCTGTAGACACACTCGATTGATGGATTCCCTTAGCGAGTCTTCCATTTGCCTAAGATGTTCCAAATTATTGATCTTGTCAAGATTACTCCAATAGCTGAAAAAATTGCAAATGTGAAACAGTATTAGTCCATGATGGCCACTCAACACCCACCACTTCCAGTGCATGCATGAGGTTTATATAGTAATCATTTTTATGAGTTATTGGATAATAATTCATACTACACATATTCTCAGTGAAATTCAACAAACAGGAACAATTCAATGCACAAAGCAAGCCCCTGTCAAACTACTAAGCTAATTGTTTCTATGAGAAGGAAAATTTGCAATCCGGGAGAGATCAGCTAGTAAGATTGTGTAATGCTTTTAAAGCCTAAGGAGAGTCTACCTTGTAACAAAAATTAATGCATAATCCAAATTCATGAATGGTAGACCAATTATACAAAAGGCGAACTCTGGAAGATTTTTACAATTGCAGCACTTATAAACTATACAGTACATAATGGATTTAATGATTCTAAATTTACAATTGCAGTTGCAGCTCCATCTCATTTGTAAGACAATTCATTAGTTTATAATATTCTAGCCACATGTCAACTACTAGCAAAGTTTAACAACTAAATGTCAATTGCAATGACTTAATTTGGCATAAGAATATACCAGAACTCAAATGCACAAGAAAAAAGATACATTTGCATGGTATGTAAGGGCATAGAAATAACTCAGTTGTTGCAAATCTCTAAGAAGAAAGGCTGAGATCAACTGAATAATAACTCAGAAAGATAGCAATTAGATAACACCAAAAAAGAAAAAGAAATACTTTAACAACCAAAAGCTCCAAAGTTGCACCTCAGTCTTTGATGCACTTCTGCAAGCTGAGTTTGTAGAACCCTCACTTGATGAGTTAATTCCTGAAAATGGCAATTCAGCTCAAAACATTTTCGTTGTTTAACTAAGTTAGGATTCCGAACTTATTATTAACCATGTTGATGCTTATAAAGAAGCTGTACCTCCACTGTTTGATTGCTGCAAGAAGGAAAAGGAAGAAAATTCAGACCCTTTAAAAGCATTACAAAGTTGAGAATCTGGTAAACACAATCACTTACCCTGAACCCAGAAAATCTTGTATTTTTACATCATGATCCAACTTCTTGAAGGTTTTCTTCAGAACCTATGTTTTGAAACGAATTAGATGTTTTAGAACCAGATAATGTTGAGAGACAAGATTGAATATGCATTTGATGTAACAAAAGCAGTGTATATAAAAGGTTATGAGAAGAGCAGGTCATCTTACTTCAAGGCTTTCCAGCTTCCTGTTCAATTAAAAAGAGAAAAAAGATCATCTCATTTATCACTAACAAAAGAAAATTAAGAACTATAAAGGTTCAACAGAATTTTTGGCAAACCTTTTGGCCCTTTCTTGTGGGCTAAGTTGAGCAAACTTTGTAATGACCTCCTCAAGATTGCTGTAAATGATAACCGGTATGCAGAATTATTAAAATCCTCCTTTCTTTTGAATTTTAAAGAATTAAAAGATCGTTTTATGTTAATATCCTATGAATAGTATACCACCCATTAAAGTTGGGTGAAAGTCATACAGTAACAAATTCCTAGTACTCAAAAACCAACCATCATTGTCTGATGGAAAGAGATGCATATTATTTATTAATAATAGAGTTTGTGTTTAGTAGTTCCTCTAATGCATAAACATTCAACACAATAGAACATACCTGCGCTCTCCTTGTAGCAATGTAGGTTTTCCAGTTGGTGAAAACATGAGAAGTGCAATAGGTATATCACATAGTATTGATAATTCTTTAGCTTTCTTTAAAATTCCACTTTTGCGTTTGGAATAAGTAACTTGCCTGTTGCTTGTGCTCTCTAATTTCTTTATCTTTAGTTTAACTCTTCCCATTCTGCATGCACGTTGTAAGTATCATAAGAATCATCATTTCATAGTACACGATTAATATTACAAAATTATAAAGAATGTCAAGAAAATTAAATTATCCAAAACATGATATAGAAATTAAAGCAGGGAAAATATATATCGAGAATATTATATTGGAAGGTTTGTTTTGAAAAGTGAGGAGAAAAAAGAACCTTGTTGAGAGAGTGAAGAGGTATGATTGATGGGGGAATAAAGAGAGAGGAAGAAGGGTGTGAGAGAAGAAAAGAGGGAAGAGATGCATAGATTGATGGATATGTAAGAGATAACAGATTGTTGGAGGGACCATGGGTGTAGCTGTTATTTCGCTGCTCATTTTTTTGTGGAACCAGACAACCTCTTTTTTAATGATTTTCATAATGGACGGTCATTTCTCATATACAAATTGTTGCCACGGTTTACATTTTTTCTTTAACAAAACTTGTTTATTTATCAACGACACATACAACTGCCTCTCTATGTTCCATTCAGCTTCTTCTGTATCCACATCCTAAACAAACTTTAGCTGTTACTTCATTTAGACTTTGCTTTTATGTGAGAAAGATTTCTAAAATACAAACTTTCATGTTTGTCAGTTGTCCCCTTAGTGAAAAAATACAAACTGCCATGATAAACTTTAGTTGGAAACACTATAATATTGTAATAGTAATATGATATTTTATATATAAAAAAAGTTATCTAAATTTTTTTCAACTTACGTAGATCAAGAAAATTTAACGATGGTAGATGTGATGGAAGTTGCAGCAAGCCATTTTCATAT